CAAAGAGAGTAAAACAATAAACCCATCACCTAGACTTAACAATTATTCACATTTTTCTTGAGCTTTTATGAGTCACTATTGTGTCTTATTAAGTTCTTCTGTATTGAAAACACGTTAAGGAATCTTCCTCTGTTCCTGCATTATAATTGCTTCCAGACTGGGTTCTTTGGCTTGCACAGCCTTGTATGTTTCTGCCCCGTTTCTGGTGTAGTATGTTTACATAGTGTTCATGTGATTATTTTTCATATTCTGATGCTTAACACAAACACTTTGGCCAAACATTATATCTGCCCCCTCCACTCTGATCTAGTGTTTGGGGAGTGGGTGTTGCTTTTAATCAACTTCATGACACCTAAGCTTCTGGGGTTGACGGAAGCAAAGAGGAGACAAAGAGGGTAAAACTAAAATGGGATTCAGCACAGACGTCCTGGGGTGCAGGACTTGACTCTCTTTTATGACACTCCAACCTTCACTAGGGAACATTCCATCAGTCCAGAGGTGTATCCCACATTGGGGTTTCTCTTTGAACCCCAACTCAGAACAGTGTGATGGAAGATGGCAAGCTCTGGCCACCATCAGATGCACCCCCAATGATATGAATGCTTTCTTCTTTGGAAGTCTTTTCATTGATTTTATTCAGGTCTGATCACTCATATGAATGAGCATATGTGCCTATTGGAAGATCTTGTGAAAATTCTCAGAGTTCTCTCAGCCCAACTGTGCCCCTTATATTCCTGCTTCTGGGGAAGAGGTAATTATAGAGGGTCAGGAATTTTTCAGTGCCACACTACAAACTTCTGACTCTTTCCGTTTGACCCCTTTAAGAAGTATATGGGTGTGATTTTTTTATTCATTACGTGGTTTGGATGTTGCTGGTGACATTTTAGCTTTGATTGAGATATCCTGTGTTCATTTAATACATGACAGGACTTGTCACAAATAGCATCAGGCTAAGTTGCCAGCAGAAACTTGCATTTTCAAGGAGAAAGAAACCAGCACACATTGAACACACACTTGTACCAGGACCTGCATACGGTGCTTTACGTGTATCACAACATTCTTGTGAGATGGGGCTTATAATTTCCCCACTTTGCAGAGCAGGACACTGAGTAACAGAGAAGTATAGTGACCAACTTTCCAATGTCACCCCCTTAGTAAGTGGAGACGCCAGGATTGAATCCAAGTTTTCCCTATTATAAGGCTCGTATTTATTCCCTATGTCGAAGAACTCCCATTAAATTACTAATAATCCATTGACTAGAGACACATTTACTCCATAAGAACGAGTGTTAGAAGTCTCCCTTTCGCAGAGAAGCTCTGGGATCCAGGACCTATCTGTCCTCTACCCTCTGAATACTTGGGTCTAATGCTCCCATCCCTTGACCCGAAAGCCTTCATTTTGTGATATGTGAGGGAATATTAGTGGAGCTCTTGAGTTCTTTATGGTCAGAAGGGTTTATGGGCAGAACCTGACTGTGGGGAAATGACGAAAACCCATGTATGACCTCATCCTTCACATTATGTCAACTTGGGAATACAGCTGTGCTTTGGGGTGGCAGAAACCCCACTCCCAATTGATG